GGGGATGGGGGGGGGTTTTTCTGGAGTGACCAGACACAAGCCATAGTGGAGCTTGGGGGGTTCCTCCCCTTTCTCCCCCCCCCACTTCCCTTTGAGGAGACCGAACAGGGGGCTGGCTTTGTTTGCTGTCTCGGTCACTGCGGAATTTTCTCCTTTTAATCTTGCTAATTGAAGAAGAAGAGATTGGATTTATACCCCGCCCTTCACTCAGAGTCTCAGAGCAGCTTACAATCTCCTTTCCCTTCCCCTCCCCACAACAGACACCCCGAGAGGTAGGTGGGGCTGAGAGAGCTCTTTCCAGGACTGCTCCTGAGAGAACAGTACTCAGAAAACTTGTGACTGACCCAAGGTCTCACCAGCAGCTGCATGTGGCGGAGTGGGGGAATCAAACCCAGTTCTCCCAGATTAGAGTCCGTGCCCCTAACCACTCCACCAAACTGGCTCTCAGTTGCGTGCAGATGTTGTTTTGCCCGAAAGCTTTGAGGGATCTCTTCCGTGACTGGCGTAATGTCTAAACCTCAGGGACCATCTCACTCCAGTCCTGTTCCACCTACACTGGCTCAGTTCGAGAAGCTGGTGTTGACCTTTAAAGACCTGTAGGACCTGGGACCAACCTCCCTCAAGGACCGCCCACTCACTCCAGTCGTCCTCGGGGACCCGGCTACGGTCCTCCTTGCCATCTGGGGGGCAGCGTGAGACACGGCCTTCTCGGTCATGGCACCAAAACATTGGAACTCCCACCCCAGGGAGGCTCCTCTGTCTCCCTCTATGGGTATCTTCCACCTGCAAGAGAAGACCCTTTTGTTTTGTTCGGCATAATCTCCTCCTCGATCTTGGTGTTGCTTGTTTACGGGTTTTACTGAATTAAAAATTTAAACGTTCTTATTTGTTCAACCTTCTTAATGTTTCAATGGTCGCCCCCTTGCAATGTTCCCTCTAAGCTGTAGAGTCTTGTGAGCAAAAATTCTACTTTGTGAGCTGCTGGCATTAAAGTTGTGAGCAGGCGATTTGGCTGCTGCATAGATTAGTTTGCTCCGGGGCCATAGTTCCTGAGCTAAGACAGAAATGTGTGAGCCGGAGGCTAAAAAAAGGTGAGCTAGCTCACACTAACTCAGCTTAGAGGGAACACTGCTTGGGAGACCCTGATCGGGTGGAAAGCAGTGTTCCTGCTAAGCTGAGTTAGTGTGAGCGAGCTCACAGTTTTTTTAGCCTCCAGCTCACACATTTTTTTTTGTCTTAGCTCAGGAAGGAGGGTTCCAGGGCAAATTAATGTATGCAGTAATGCCCGTAGCTCACAAAGTAGAATTTCTGCTCACAAGACTCCACAGCTTAGAGGGAACATTGGTTCCAGGGCAAATTAATTTATGCAGTCGCCAAATCGCTCGCTCGCTGCTTTAATGCCAGGAGCTCACAGAGTAGAATTTCTGCTTACAAGATTCCGCAGCTTAGAGGGAGCATTGGTGGAAAGGCAACATAAAAAAGTGTTTAGGTGTGCCTTGAGGATGACTCTCCCCCAAACACATTCCTCTCCTCTCTGACTCTCAAAGGGGATCCTGGAGAATATCCAGCGCAACAAACTCCTCTTCATCGAGACGCAGGATGGCGCCGAGACCAGCATGGCCCTGGAGAAGTATCAGGAGGTGGGTGGCCACGGGGGAGAGGGGCAGCGGGGGGGGGGTCATCCTGGCGCAAGCGAAGGTCGTGCAGAAGGCTCCCCCCCCCTTTGGCCTGTACCGTCGGTCTGGGGACCTGCCCTGACTGCAGGAGAGGCCTGCGGTTTGCATCGCCGGCTGCAGCTAAACTGGGCTTTGTCCGGCAAGCGGCCCTGATGCGGAGCCTTCCTACCACTGGGCCAGTTTGGCGGCTCACCTTTTTGAGCGGCTCGCGGACGAGTCTGGGGTCCGAGTCCCGTTTCTTCCGGAGCGGCACTTTATGGACGCTGGATAAACAGGCAGGCTGGGCTCGTAACCAGGATTTTGTGTCGTGCGCCAGGCTTGCGAGAACGGACGGGGAGCGATCCTGCTGTCTGTGGCCCGGGGGAAGGTGTCCGAAGGGATCGACTTTGGTGAGTCTCTGCTTTTTGGCTGCCAGAGGCAAGGGGACTCTGGGTTGGCCTGGGATTAAGAACCTCAGAAGAGCCCTGCTGGGTCAGACCAGTGAGGGTCCATCTAGTCCAGCCTCCCGTCTCACACAGGGGCTAACCAATTGGAGGGCCAACAACGGGGCAGAGAGGCTGGAGTGTTCATAAGAACATCAGAAGAGCCCTGAGGATCAGACCAGTAGTCCATCTGGTCCAGCATCCCCTCTCACACAGTGGCCGATCAGTTCCTCTGCAGGTCCAATAAACAGGACATAGAGGTCGAGGCCTTCATAAGAACCTCAGAAGAGCCCTACTGAGTCAGAGCAGTGATCCATCTAGTCTAGCATCCTGCCTCACACATTGGCCAACCAGTTCCTCTGGAGGGCCAACAACAGGGCCTAGAGGTCCAGGCCTTCCCCTGATAAGAACCTCAGAAGAGCCCTGCTGGGTCAGACCAGGGAGGGTCCCTCCAGTCCAGCCTCCCATCTCACACAGGGGCCAGCCAGTCCCTCTGGAGGGCCAGCAACAGGGCAGAGAGGCCAAGGCCTTCCCCTGATAAGGACACCAGAAGAGCCCTGCTGGGTCAGACCAGGGAGGGTCCCTCTAGTCCAGCCTCCCGTCTCACTCAGGGGCCAGCCAGTCCCTCTGGAGGGCCAACAACAGGGCAGAGAGGCCAAGGCCTTCCCCTGAGAAGAACATCAGGAGAGCCCTGCTGGATCAGACTAGTGGTCCATCTAGTCCAGCCTCCTGTCTCACACAGGAGCCAACCGGTTGACCTGGAGGGCTAACAACAGGGCATGGAGACTGAGGCCTTTCCCTGATGTAGCCTCCTCTTGGCGCTGGGATTCACAGGTGGGCTCCCTCTGAACTTTGCCATCTCTCAGTCTGGTCGTGGTCCACCGAGTATATTTTGGCTCAGTGCGGCTGTTGTTAAAGGGACTTGCAGAAGATTTTTGAAAAATATATTCTTGGGAGTTTCTCTGAAGCGACAACATCCTTGGTCCCCTGCTTTCTAAGCTGGTCTTGATTTATGTCTGTTTCTAGTTGTGTAACAAGCTTAGTGGGAGCTCCCTTGAGAGCCATGCCGAGGCGTGAGGGGTACAGAAACAAAAACAAGCGTGTGCCCACATAGATAGCACCATGGGTCATTTCTTGCAAGAGTGTACAGGAGCAGAGCTCTAGCAGTAAAGAGCCCAGGGGGCGGGCACATGCAACAAGCCCCGCCCCCTGCTCCCAGCAGCCCTCAGTCAGAGCAAGAAGCAGCCAGGTAAGCTGCAGAGCGCCCCCCCCCCGGTCCAAAACAGTCCAGTGGCACCTTTAAGACCAAGTTTTATTCAGGTACAAGCTCTCCCTCCTCTGCGAGGACAGAGCTGCACGTTCCCCCCCCTCCCAATAACTAGCAATCCAAAACAGTCCAGTGGCACCTTTAAGAGCAAGTTTTATTCAGGTACAAGCTCTCCCTCCTCTGTGAGGGCAGATCTGCGCGTCTCCCCCCCACCCCCATAGCTAGCAATCCCAAACAGTCCAGTGGAGCCTGAGCGGTGGGTGTTGCCTTCTGACACGCTTCCAGTGAGGTCAGGGGGTGTGGTATATGCAAATAAGTGATGCTAATGAGTTATGCTAATGAGCTCCTGCACCTCTTTTTCTACGCAATGACCCCCGGATAGCACCCAAGAGCCAGCAGGGAAGATCTAGGGCAGGTGATGCAGCCGTGGGGAGGAGCAGAGAATGAGAGAAGTGGTTGCAGGTGGGTGTATAGGGGGCAGGGGAGCCAGGATGAAATGGTCAGAGACTGGAGGCCAAGGAAAGAAACTGTGAAAGAACAGTGCAGCACGACTGCTGCGTGAGGCAGGATTTGGAGGTTCTGGGGAGGGAAGGCAGGCAGGAGAACTTCTTCCCTACGGTCTGCTTGGGGAACACATAAACACCCCCCTGGCGGGTGGGGCTGGCTCTTGCTGCTGGGTCTGTGGCATCTCTGGCCCTCCGCCCCCCAGTCCTAGCTCTGCCCTTTCCCTCCCACAGTGCACCACTACGGCCGAGCCGTGATCATGTTCGGGGTGCCTTATGTCTACACCCAGAGCCGCATCCTGAAGGTAGGTTTGCGTGGCCCCCGCGTGCTCGCCCTCGGCCTGCTCTGCCTCCTGCTCCGGGCGGCTTTCTCCACGAGGCAGGGGAGGCCCCGGCAGAGCTCAAGCCGTCCTCAGGGGGTTTTGTTGGCACGGCGGCGCCGGCGTCTCCTGGAGACGAGGCTCCTCTGGGCCGCCTTCCCTGGCAGGCTGGCAGAGGTTTCTGTGTGGTAAACAAGGAGGGGAAAGGGGACTCCGCTGCTCTCCCAGCTTCTGGGCATCGCTCCCCCGCCACCGGAAAGAGGGCCTGAGGTGGGGTTGAAAGCCTTGTTTCGTAGAGTCTCGAAGCCACGAGCTTTTGCAGGACGCAGCCAGCTGGATCAGCGTCTGAACTATCCTGGAATAAAGCCCCAACCGGGAGTCTGGGGTCAGGATCAACTCCCATAATTCCTGCGGAGGATTAGGGAGCTGCCAAAAACAGATGGCAGGGAGTGAACTCGGCTGCCAGGAAAAGCCGCCTAATTAACTTAAAGAATTTGCCACCTCGGAAGGCGTCGGGGAGAGCTGCCGAGACAGGCACAGGGCAGAGGCAGACGGGAGAGGGGCCGGCTTTGGTGGCCAGGTGGAACCTCCAGGGCTAAAAGCAGTGTATCTTTGACTGCCAGATGCTGGCTCTACAGTGGCTAAACAAATATAAAGCCAACAGTCGTGTTAGTCTGACCCGCAATCAACAGTCATGAGACTTATAAGAATTGCTGTACATGTATTGTGCTCTGAAGCATTACAATATGATACACAACTTAATAGAATTTATAAACCAAGGTACAACGTCGTCTCCGGATTATATACCGACGTTTCAAAAAATGAATCTTCTTCTGGAGATATTCTGTAGTACACAAAAATGCAATTTTTAGAATATGTATAACACCAATCACAAGAACTTGTCTAGCTTTTATGAAAATGAGAGCTTTGGCACCTCTGTGTAAGTAAGCAATAAGATTATTGTATTGTCTCTTGTTTCTATTAAGTTGTGTATCATATTGTAATGCTTCAGAGCACAATACATGTACAGCAATTCTTATAAGTCTTATGACTGTTGATTGCGGGTCAGACTAACACGACTGTTGGCTTTATATTTGTTTATCTGTTTTAGTCGTGTGTGTCCAGATTTTTTGTGGCTCTACAGTGGCGGCAGCTCTTTGCCGGCACGCCCAGTCTCTGCCTTTCCCAGGCGCCGCTGCACGTCTGCCGGGCCCGGACGGTCCCTCCTCCCCGTTCTACCTCTGAGGGGAGACAGAGTTGTTCGGAGAACAGGAAGGCGGCCGCCAGGGCCCCGTGATGTGCGTCCCTCCCGGCGCTCTCTCGGTGCTCGGGGTCCTTGAGGCCGATGAACATAAAGCAAAAATGTTCCGGGGGGGAGGAGGGGGAGCCGGCTTGAAAAATGAAAATGGTTTTGAACTTCTTTCCTCGTGATAGAATGAAGTTTGAGTCCAGTGGCACCTTTAAGACCAACAAAGTTTTATTTCTGGTATAGGTTTTCGTGTGCACGCACACAAAAGCTTATACCAGGAATAAAACTTTGTTGGAAGCTTATACCAGGAATAGAGCTGCGGTGGCTCAAGTGGTTAAGATGCTGAACTGGAGGCTGTGGAAGGTCGGTAGTTCAGCAGTTCGAGACCCGGGTGTGCCGCATGACGGAGTGAGCTCCCATCTCTAGTTCCAGCTCCTGCCAACCGAGCAGTTCGAAAGCAAGAAATTGCAAGTAGATAAATAGGTACCACTTTGGTGGGAAGGTAACAGCGTTCCGTGTGCCTTGGTGTTCAGTCATGCCGGCCACATGACCGCGGAAATGTCTTCGGACAGCGCTGGCTCTTCGGCTATGAAAGTGAGATAAGCACCGCAACCCTAGAGTCGGACTCGACTGGCTTTCGAGCAAGGGAACCTTTACCTATACCAGGAATAAAACTTTGTTGAAAGCTTATACCAGGAATAAAACTTTTGTTTGCCTGCTGCTTCAGAACAGCATGGCTCCCCATCTGAATCTTTCCTCGTTGTAACAAATTTAGAGTCCAGTGGCACCTTTAAGGAATATTGGAATGTTTTGCTGACATAACGCTGCACCCACCTCAAAGAAAAAAGACAAAAATGCTGTTACGTGACCTCCAGGCCTGAAAGGAGACAAATGGAGAGTCCCAGTTGACTTCCCACAATTAGAAAAGACACCCTTACACATTTATCCCCTATTTTGACATATTCATTGTTTTACTGTTCTATCCCCCTTCATTAAATCAAAACAACTGTTGACCGTATAACCTCAGCTTGTTATTTAGTTTTGTCTTTGCATATCTCTAAAACATCTTCATCGTGTTACATGTTGATTTGCTGTTGCCTCTAATAAGTCTGAACTCTTTAACTTCCATTCCAATGTATTTGAAAAAGCGTGCCCGCCCATGAAAGCTGGTATCTTGAACAAACCTTTGTTGGTCTTAAAGGTGCCCCCCACTGGACTCTAGATTTGTTCGACTGCTTTGGACCAACATGGCCGACCATTTGGAACTTTCCTCATTCTAGTTATTGATTTGGGGAGGTTGGAAGAGTAGCCCCCCCCCTTGAGACCTGCAATTTTGGGGGTTCCGGCATGGTCGTGGGCGGGGGGCTCAGCCAGCAGCGGCTGCCGCCCCCTTTGGGCTTTCCCCGATCTCACCACTGCACCCCGCTCTCCACTGCAGCGCTTTGCACGGGCCGACAAGCGGGGGAAGCTCCCGCGCTGGATCCAGGAACACATCACAGACGCCAACCTCAACTTGACGCTGGACGAGGCCGTGCAGGTCGCCAAGTACTTCCTGCGCCAGATGGCCCAGCCCTTCCGCAAGGTGAGCAGCCGGAGCGGAGCACTCTGGGAGGCTTGGGGAGGGAAGGTGGCCTTAGAATGAATCAGACCCCTGCCTGGTCCATATCCACGAAGGTCAGTCTTATCGCTCAGACTGTCAGGCAGAGAAAGGTCTTCCCCATCACCTCCTGCCTGGTCCTTTTTAACTGGAGATGCCAGGGATCGAACCTGGGACCTTCTGGTTGCCA